AGCGTCGTGCTATCCCTCCCCCGTCCGACCTTTCGACCAGACGATGGTGGCCCCAGGGTACGTGGCGAGACCCTTAAGTATCGATGCTATCCCTCTCTCCGTCCGACCCAGTTAGGCCAGATCGAATCCAGCTCCGCCCACTAATTGGATTGGCGTCTGTCACTAGCTCTCCAATATACACCTCCCTCATTACAAAAATAACTCAGTTTAGTTCCATTCCAGTCGATCACTTTCCATCACCTTTGACGTAAAACACCAAATATAGCGCGTGTGGGCACATAGCAGTTTCTCAGTTGACATTCAACGTTTGCTTACTGTTCTCCATTCAGTTTGTACCGATCAGTGTACTAATCTTGAAATCTGGATTGCTGTTCCTTGGAATGCGTCCAATGCAGTTGAGTCCAATTCCGAAATGTATCCTTAATGCATGCCATCCATGGAGCTTCAGCACGTGGAGGTCGCTTCTACTTTCCTTCGTGTGACACCAACACGTCGTCATGCTGATCTGTATGCCGACTTGGACGGGGGGGAGGGGACGGGACGGTCATCCTGCGTTATTCGGGACCGTTGCGAGGCCCGATGTCCCGGGACGCCAGTTGGAACTGATACACCGACACGGTCTCGAGTGAGGTCGGCTCGCAGTATTAGCCGCGGGGAGCAGAGCCTCGCAGCGTGTCGGATCCCACTACTAACTCCGCCCGTCGCCAACAGGTGTCGGGTCCGGAGTGCGGATACGTGGCCACGCCGATCTGTCTGGTACAGTGCGCTCTCAGCATCTTGAAGAACCTGGCAAGATGCCCGGCAGGTGAGCCCCGCACCATGCTCCTGTCTGCCGCTCGTCAGCAGCTCCCTGATCTGACATGACTCAGACTCTGACATGACTCAGACTCTGACATGACATGACCTGACTCTGTCTCATTGGGGCTTCTGACCTCAGGTAGTCTTGGGGTCTCAGAGTCACCGCCCGTCTTACCGTGCGCTGTCTTCGTTAGACTCACCTTACACGAGTATGCGGTTGTGTCGTCCCGTAACTCACGCTGCGCCAAAGCTCGGCGGCTGTCAACCACAGGGTTGTCATGACTGGGAAACCACAAGATTGGGGTTAGACCGTTAATACTGACCAATCCCGGTGTCGCAACGGTCCATCCGCCTCGTTGAAACAGACGCAACGAGAGCGATGCCAAAGGAAGAAGGACGCTACGGCTTAGTTGCATCCATTGTAATATCTTGACCTCGTTCACCATGCGTCGAAGGGTTCCTCAAGAACGCTGAAGCCGCGTGTATGTCGTCCTATCTACTCTGTGTGATTATTGTTGTTCACACTCTGCTTAATGCACGACTCTTTTGGAAAAGAGTTGCATGCATTCGTTTGGTTTGAGCGCTCGTCATTTTGCTCCAGCGTAGCGGTCGGATCATTTCATTGACTTGGAGTGATGCGGACATGATATGAGAAAGCAAGGCCTTCAGCTCCTGCTGTTTCGGCTGGGTGCCATATGACCGACGTGGTCGGCGCGCCCCAAAGCCCAAATCATCGCCATCATCCTGCTGTTTGCAGGGGTCTTATGCTGACTTATTGGTCCTCACTTTGCCAGGAGGTGCTGCTTCAACGACGTTGCAGTGCGAACATTGGTTATACTGACAGTAGTCATTGCTGTACCGAGCACTCTCAAAACAACCCATGCGCTATAACTCGTTTAACCAGTACCTCCTGGTGTGCTGAGGGTGGATAACTCAGCATAAGAGCTCTGAACTCATACTGATTCGGGCATAGCGTGCCCACATCGTTCGTATTGAGTCGGTCGGGGATGAACATGTGTGTTTCAGTGCTGAAGGTGCACATGCATGCGACATGCGATGTACATCCGGTGTCGGCTTCAGTACTGATGGTGTTTGGTTGACCCAGTGTCAGCGGCCGTCTGTGCCGGTCCCGGTAGTGGGCTGTTGGGCCGATGCGCAGCCGGTGTTGGCTTCGTTGCGGCGGTGATGTTTGGTTGACCCAGTGTCAGCGGCCGTCTGTGCCGGTCCCGGTAGTGGCTGGTGGACCGATGCGTAGCCGGTGACTGCTTCAGTGCGGAGATGTTTGGCTGACCCAGGCACGTTCACGTTCGTTTCAGCGGTGGCGTGTACGCGCCGGGCGCGGCGTTCGCAGAGACATCTCTGATCGAGCGGCTGAACCATCGCGGCGTTACGTTCGAGGTCATCGGCGACCAGTAGACGGCAGGCGCCCTGCCCGCCCCGCCCTCCCCCCCCCCCCCCCCCCGTCCCTCCCCGGGCCGGTCGCTGGCAACGCAGCCCGGAGAGAGGACCGGGGCGCCTGGCGACTGGCAGCTGCCGCAGCCGCTCGGGCCGGACCGCGAGGGCGGCCGCTCGAGGGGCAGCGGTCGGCGCGGCTGGAGCTGGGCATTGCACGGGCGGGAGGCCTCTCAGACACGTGCGGGTCTAGTGTGCCTCCGCGTGTCGGCCGGAGGCGATTGTGCCGTCGACCCGGCTGTAGCACCGCCATAACGCAGCTGTAAATTGTGGACCGTTGTCAGGGTATTCGGGGGACGTCAGCGCTGGCAGATCTACAGGGGCGGGAGCGCTGTTGTCAGGCGGTGGCGCGCTCTTCGCTGAATCGAGGCTGTACTTCGGACGGTGACGTCCAGGAACCCCACAATCGACCACGCCAGCGCTCGTGGACAGGGTATCGTGTGGGAGTAGCGATAACGGGGACAGGTGTGGGCTGGGAACTCCGGCAGCAAGAAGGGCCAATTTGATTAAAAAGCTGCGGCGGTAAAGTCGTGTACAATTTGTAAGAGAAATCAGCGGGTGTGAAGAAATGTGTGTAGAATGTGACTGGGTGATAGGGACATGAAAAACTATCGGAGACGTCGTTGGGCGGGGCTGTTACACGCTGCTAACAGGAGGAAGGTATATAAATGTGAGGCGCGTTATTCTGGATGGGTGTGAATGGGTGTTGGGGCCCCTTCAGCAGCAAGCCAGTTTATATGATATTTCAACTGAGTGGCCAGAAATCAACGAACAATCAGGTGATGAGCAAGTCGAACGCTGTTCCGTCGCTGTCGGACGCGTGCCCACGTGTGTAGCATGAACAGGCTGCGGTGGGCGCCGCTGTCATGTGGGAGCGATCCTAGAGGAGGGTATCGTCATGTTGCTTCTGTCTGCAGAAAGGTTTAATGTGGCCAACGGTAGAGCTTGCACTAACAGCAATATATCATGGGTGAAGTACGTTCTTTACCAGCCGCGGAATGCGGTTTTGTCGTCGACGTCGTATTTTGAATCAGATGCTCTGTCTAGCAAAGCACAGTGACCATAGATATGCGTTATTCATCTGTTTGCCCCACCATTTTTGTGACCGCGTCTCACTCTGGTTTGTCATCGTAGTTCCAGTTAGTTATTCCCTGCCTGTACGACGGCTCTCGTCAGCGTTCCTCCCACACCGCGGACGAAGTAACATTCCCAAGCCAGCCCGTTCTCGGTTGGGCCAGGCCAGCCCCGTATGCCTTTGCAAGCCAACTCCATCGGTTGGTGCACCATGCAGCAATGCATATATTGACTTGCAATAGGTAGTGCCTCTTCTCTTCAGCGGTTGCAGTGCCATCACTGCTCTGCAGCTATTCTGGAGCACCGCACCCAGGTTACCGCAAGATGCAAACAATCAGCAAAACGCTGAGGCAGATGCTATATTTGTCTATATTTTGGTATAGCATACTCGTCTCCCCGTTATGTCCCTCTCCCTCCCCTCTCTCTCTCTCTCTCTATTCTCTCTCTCTCCCTCCCATCCCCTTCTCTCTCTCTCTCCCCCTCCTCCCTCTCTCTCTCTCTCTCTCCCCCTCTCTCTCTCTCGCCCTCGGCACTTGGGCGAGGAGGTTCGCGTTGTTTCGTGAACAACCGTTGGGCTAGAGCTAGATACTACAATCATGCAAAAGTTCATGCTGTGTGATACCTCTGAGCAAAATACGAAGACTTCCTTAGGGGCTCCGATGGGGAGGGGGGGGGGGGAGGGCATTGATGGGTCGGCGCTTGTATGCCCAACTCGCTGCAGGAAGTAATGACTTCCTTGCCAGTCATCCCAGGCCTTGTATCCGTTAGGAGCATTCCACAGCCGGTCGTGGGGCTTCGCATTGACCCAATTTAGGCGTACGAAATTTGTGGTGCAAAATTAACCGCGGTCAATTTTTTTACAAATCCGTTATGGAACAATCAGATGGCTTGTTGTCATGATGACGCCATTGCAGACTGGCCTTCAATGCCAGAATTTCACCAGGCAAACCTGGCTGGCCCCGTAGGGCCAATACCCACTGCCTTCAGAAGCCAGGGATCCTCAGTGTGACCTGTCATTTCCTCGCAATGTTCGCCGGAGTGACAATGATTCCTCAGTCGGGTTTTTATGCTTTTGCTCCACAGACCTGTGCGTGCCACTTTTCCTTCTTTTTTCACTGCTTCATTCTTATGGTCGCATAGACGCTCTTAAACTCGCCCCCTAAAACGCTCCTAAACTTTCTTGACCGCCTCCATCGCAAATAGACAATTTTTTTGCATCAATCTCCAACAGCGGATGTTTCAGTTTTAGCGCTTTCTCGTTATCGTAAAACTTGTGTCGTTGCCAATGGTGTAACTGGACAGCAACGATGTTGCCTGCTCATTGTATAGCAACTAGCAACGCTGAGATTTTCTGATCTTTTATTGTGTACCTTCGTGGATAACGCGCACCACATTTTTCGCTCACATGTTGTGATTGGGGTTTTAGGGCGCGTCGACGTCTAGGGTCATTTTGCGCCCATCGCTCACATGTGTAGATTCCGTGTGGCGTTTACCTTCCGTGTTCTGTTATTGAACACTGCTTCTTGGTGATCACGCACCCATAAACCGGTAAATCAAATGCGGACAGCACAAGATCCCACGGACGCCGATCGCAAGCAAGCTCACTGCCCGCCGAGCACGTCTAGCGTCCCTTCGCTGTTCATCTTGCACCCTCACGTCCTCCGCGACCCCGTCGGCTCTCCGCCGGCCGAGACGGGCCAGGTCCCGCGGCCCACGGCCGCCACTGCCCTGCCCTGTTCAGGTGAACTGTGCCGGCACCAGGGCGCAGAGGACCGTGGCGTCGTGCTGGTCGGTGATGTGCCACTCGAGCGTGATACCGACGGCCGGCATGTCGGCGGCGACGGGCAGGTCCACGGCATACGTCAGCTCCTGGCCCGCCTTGGCTGGGCAGCGGCCGGCGAGCATCTGGCTGCACATCTGCGGGCAGGGAGGCGTCGGCCCATCTGCGGCACTCGCTCCAGGATGGATTGGCAAAGCGATGCCGCGTAGACTGCCGAGGCTGCTGTCTGTGGTCCTTTGTCGTAATCAAGGCCTGAACATACGGATCTCCAGCCGCGATTACGTCCATTGGCGATGGCAGCAAAGTACATATGCCAATAAATGCATGCACGGAGAGAGAGAGAGAGAGAGAGAGAGAGAGAGAGAGAGAGAGAGAGAGAGAGAGAGAGAGAGAGAGAAAGAGAGAGAGAAAGAGAGAGATAGATAGATAGAAGTATATATATATATATGTATATATATATATATATATATATATATATATATATATATATATAATCTTGTGTGGATGTGGTGTGTGTGTGTGTGTGTGTGTGTGCGCTCGCGGGTGTACGTGTGGGCGTGTATGCGTGCGTGTGTGTGAAGCGTTTTATAAATGGAAGTGGAATAGGTAAAAAACATCTCATTATTCAACTCTTCCAACCTCCTTGGTCTCCTGAACGGACATCTTACCTGATTATCGTAATCCAGTGGTATTGGGATGTTGTCGAGAAGGCCAAAATATCATTGATTTCATGCTGACAATCTCCTGAACTGGAACACACATTTTACAAGCGAGATTTCCAGTGATTGCGGCAGATTATGCACAGGGTATGCTCAACGCCATGAATGAGGGCCATGGAGAACTGTTTGCCAGCTTTTTTGAGCGTTTTTACGTGATGAATCTGCAGCAGTTGTGTCTTTTACTGACCAGCGTTATGTTATGCTGCAGTGTTCCGATTTTGCTTCCCGCAGCGTGTCTCCAAATATCGCGTCACAATTTATTTCTAATGCTCCTGCAATGCTAGCCACACTGCACATTCAATTAACCAGAGATCTGGCCAGAGTTCCAGCAGTCGCTGTCGGGACGGGATCTCGCAATAACATATGTAATGACAGTGATGCGATGCAAATGACAGGTGACACGACGACAAAGTGCGGCACGGGCACGGGCTCCGGGACTCACCCGCCTTGAAGCGCACCTGCATGGGCACCGTCGAGCCCCTCTTGATAAACGCAAGGCAGATGGTCGCAGTCGCCCACCTTGACATCAGCAGAGCGCCCGTGAACCCTGAACAAGCAAAACGAGCGGTCAGCATACAAGTGGGAGTAGCGTGCCGGATGATAGTCGAGGTGACGTGGAGGCCTAAGGCAAACCTGGCACATACCCACCGGAGCGTGCTACTGTCAAAGTAATAAGTTCCGGTGGGCTTACCACAGGGGGCGTATCCATGTATTGGCCACGGGTCACGTGGCCCTCCCCCTATCATAGTGCTGGCATGCTTTAATGTGTTCGCAATGGCGCATTGACAATTAAAAGTTCGAGACAGAAACGTGAAACAAAACATATCCTCAACATCCGAGGCTGTTGTACGTCATGAGAGAAATGCTACGATCTTTCGGCGCGCAACTCTGAGTTTTCTGTGCAAATTTGGGAGTTGTGTCCCCATTGCAAATCTCTACAGTTGATCTTGCTTACTGCTTTGATAGCAAAAGGTATCTATACCAGTATTTACACCAGCACGGAAATAGTAGTAAGTCTAATAATGTCTACAAATACTGAAGTACTATCGTCATTCCTCCACCAGTTGTGCTTACAGCGGTTCCTTGGTCGGGCTGTGCTGAATAATAGTGTAACTTAGTAAACCTTGCTGTACAAGCCCTGACACTCCTCTCGATTTCCTCGAGCTGCGAGATAGCCTTGAAAGGTTTTACAGCTGTGGGATTTGTGGCGCACCTCCCAGGTCAAGGTCACGGTAAGCAGTCACGAAAATCCCCATGACGGCGACGGACATTGCGCTGACCCGATTCTACATGAGATGACGCACGGGCCGGCCGAGAGGCATTGCCGTTGTCATCTGTCGTCACAGCTTAACATTCACCGTACGCTAGCGCGGAAAAGAATCCACAAGAAC